TATATGAAAGTTTCATTTTTATCATTACATTATGGAAAATAATGACCTTTATCACAATATGCTAATTTTTTGAGAAGGACCTGTAATGTTCTCTTTCTTAGCATTCGTTTCGTGTCTCACATTGGGAATGAAAACATACCGACTCCCGTATTGCTCAGGGGATTTTACGTTGCCTGCCAGCTAATTCAATTCTTCTGTGCACTTAGTGCCACACTGAGTACTGAATGAGCCAGAGATGATGCTGTCACATCCAGTCTATAAGGCCGAGCAAACGTGAGAAGCCCAAATGTAAATAAAGATGTGTGTCATTCAGTCATGGGTCATGCCAACAGCATTTTTCTCTGTGACACTGATAAAGAAGAAATACTGAGTATTGTCAAATATCTTCCAGATAAAGGTCAAAAGACTGGATGGACATGATGTTTGTAAAGGATACGATGAGTTATGTTATTGAACCATTTACATATATATGTAATTTATCATTTTCAACAGGAACATTTCCAGAAAATATGAAAATAGCAAAGATAGTTCCTCTTTATAAGAATGGTGAGAAATGTGTGTTCACTAATTACAGACCAGTATCCTTGTTGACACAATTTGCAGATAAATTAGAGAAATTATTTGTAACCAGATTAGATCGATTTATAGATAAACAGAATATTTTAAGTAATAGTAGACCATGAGATCCTCACTGCTAGGTTAGAGCAGTGGGGGGGCGTCACAGGATCAGCCCTCAATTGGTTCAGATCTTACCTCACTGACAGATCCTTTTGTGTCTCCATCAAGGATTTTAGTTCCGCAGAGGCAGAGCTTAAATGGGGGGTTCCGCAGGGGTCCATCCTGGGTCCCCTCCTATTCTCTTTATACCTGCTGCCGCTTGGTGCTATTTTCCGGAAACACAGCATGCCCTTCCACTTCTATGCCGATGACTGTCAAATTTACTTCCCCCTAAGACACAATGGTACATGCTCTATTCAACCTCTGCTTGACTGCCCGGCAGACATCAGGGACTGGATGGCTTTAAATTTCTTAAGTTTCAATGAAAAGAAGTCTGAAGTCATGTTGTTCCCTCCCAATGACACGATCACAAACCACTGCATCGACCTCTCTACTCTAACCCTGTCAGAAAAACAAAGTCACTAATCTGGGAGTGATAATGGACCCTTCCCTGAAACTTAACGATCATGTAAACATGATCGTTAAGTCATGCTTCTTCCAACTGAGGCGGCTGTCTAAACTGAAGCCCATATTGTCCAAAAAGAACCTGGAGACAGTAATACATGCATTCATTACATCTAGGCTTGATTACTGCAATTCGATCCTGTTTGGTATCAGTCAGACCTCCATTGCACGACTACAACTGGTCCAGAATGCAGCAGCCCGATTTTTAACCAGTACAGGCAAAAGAGAGCACATTACACCAGTTTTGGCCTCACTGCACTGTTTTTTTTTTAATAGACGGTCAGCCGATCAATCCATCTTCACTATGCAAATTGTCACTTGATTGACACACAGGGCAGCCAATCTGAGACCGGATCTTTTCTGACGCATAGGTCACGACACATGCGCGTTCAGCCGCGCTAAAAACCAACGAGTTGACTCGTAACAGCCTCCAGTTTATATCCAAACTCAATAAAGTGTAAAATAAATTGAGGAGCTGGACCAAGTAAGAAAGAATCTACCATTTCCATACGGAATGGGGGGAGGGCCTTTTTGTTTTTCACGATTCCAAGTGCATTTCACCGGAGCTGCATTTTCGTTCTCTTCATTAAAAGTACGGCTCTGACTTCTCTCTGAAAAGTGAGCTGAGAAAGAAAATGGTGAAGGAGCGAAATCCCAGTTATGTGGACAGCAGTCATTTTTCTTCCAGCCGACCAGCATCAGTCCAGGTGAGTCACTTTAATAATTGTTAAGCACAAGAAGTCTTTTCAAGAGGGAGACGTGGTAAAAGAGTTACTTGATGAAGCAGCTGACTCGTTCTTTAAAAACAAACATCATCTTCATCAGCTAAAGGTCCACTGAGCTGCTGTCAGCGCTGACTTCTCACTTCTCAGGTTATTCTTCAAACATGAACTTATTCTTATTGTTTCCTGTTCCTTTGTGTCAAGAACACAAGTCATTGATGGGTTTTGTTATTTTGTACACGCACAGTAAAAATAAATTGTCACTTTTTTTTAAACAAACTTTTGGGTTTAATCGTTTATGTTGCGTCCACAGTGAACTGGGACTTGTTCATTTATTCAAGCTTTAGTTATCCAGGTTGGTCTCATTGAGTCACGAGGACTCATTTACCAGAGAGACCAGTTTTAGACAAACAACACGTAAACTACAGACAATAAACTACAGTAAAACACAATTAAAATAAAAGTAGTGTTATAAAACAATAAATCAAGGTGCCACATGGTAAAATACTAAACACAGGAAGGTAAAACATACAAAGCATACTTCATATGTTTCTAAATAAGTCTATGTTTTGTATTTTTATAGTAGGTAGACGACTTGGACTTGGTCATTTTAAAAGTAGCTCGCATGCTGAAAAGCTCGGGGCACCCCTGCTGTAGACAGAGAAGCCCCGTCTTCATCAGGTACCAGGGGTTTTAATGTTGCGTGTGATGATTTGCAGTATAACTGCTGAACTTCAGGGAGATGAAACAGGAAGTTCGCTCACCCCGTGCCACAGAAGATGCTGCCGCTGGAGGAAATGCTGGACTCTGAGGCACATCGGCGACGTGGCTCCAGCAGCCGAGGCGACGAGGACACCACCTTCTCCTCTGTCACAAAGCCGTTCATTACTCCTGACAAAAGGAACACAAGGGTTAGGGTAAAGGAAGATAAATGTCTTATGAATCAGCCATGTTTGTTCAAGAGGCCGGTTTAATCGAGCACCTGTGCTGAGACGTTTCACAGGTGCCTCCTCGTCCTCCTCGCTGTCCGCACTGCTTCGGCGAGTTCTTTTCTTGGGCAAGAGGAGTGTCTCCAGTCGAGGGATCACCACGGACAGGAAGGTTTTGGCCCCCAGGGGAGGCGGTGCCGACACAGCAGATGCCTCTTGGCCCTCGGGTGGTTTCTGCGGACTGGCACTCTTGGACTTTCGGAAGAGGATGTTGGTCCGTCGGTTGCAAGTTCTGGATGGTTCCATGTGATCGTTGCCGTTGGGAAGGAGCTGGTCTGGAACGTGCCCGTTGCAAATGTTCACAGGCACTGAGGTAGATGTGTTGGAGTCGTCATCGATCTCCTTGAGGGTCCCGTCTGAACAGGGGGGGACGGGCTTGAGAGAAGGCGGCTCCGAGCTGCTGGGCGACATTTGAGGCTGAAATGGTGAAGTTAGCTCTAACGGTGGTGGAGGTAGGGGGTGCGCTCGGGCTTCTGGTGGTGGCTCCTCCTCTGACTGACTGGCAGCTGTTACTGCACCTGAGGTGGAGGGCGGTGGTGGGGGGGCGTTCTTCAAGCTGATCTCACTGCGGACCGCCATTATAGTTCTTTTGAGCAGTTTGAGCCTCTTACTGCGGGATGGGCTGTTCTTCATGGCAGTGCTCAGGTCCAGCTTCTCCAAGAGCTCCTTCAGCTGATCCTTCAGTGGGGTCAGCTGATGGTAGGAGGGGGTCAGCAGGCGGTCCACTGGGAAAGATGCATAAAAACATCATTACAGACTGGTTTCTGACTGTTTACACTGAACTAATGATGCAGTCAGTTAGCACGTTTTATAACCGTCTCTGGAAACAATTCCTGGTCAAAACGTATTTTACATTTTTACCTAAACTACAGGAATTGCATTTCCTGTGAAAATACAGTGTAAACTTCAACACGCCCCCCCGGAGAGAGGGAGGGACGGAGTATGTACCGTAACTGCCGGTGTACAAGACGCTACTTTTCCCCTCACACTTTGTACCCCGCGGTTTATATGCAGCGGCGTCTTAATGTATTTATTCAAGGATCTTTATTTGTTGTTCACACCTCATGTGGTACATGTGGTGGAATGAAATTAATGCTCACAGGGTCCCAGTTACATCCAACAATAAAATGTAAAATAAAAACAGTAATAACATCAAAGATATGAACTAAGAAAAACATCAACTAAATATACACTAAGCACTCATAACATAAAAACATCATGGCGAACAGCAGCACGAACATGAGTCTGTGTGAGCAGATGAGCACAAATGAACACAGCAACACGAAACTGATCAGCAGCATGATGATTTATGTGTTTTTTTCATAATTTTCGAAAGTTATATTTTTATATTTTATTTTGAAGGACGTCCTGCCATCTCTTGACAGCTTCCTGCCACTGACTAATATTTTCCTTTCATAGAACTGGGCGCTCGTGGCTCCCAGCACTCCGCCCTTAATGGGGCAAGCATTTGTGACACAGAGAATGCCCTCAGGTCATCAGGTGTACAAGGTCTTTTGCTTATGGTTGCAAATACCCAACCATAACTCCTCCCACTCTGTCATCATGTGACCAGAAGTCTAACCTGAATGACCAATGAGGTACTCTCGAGGACCATCCCCCGAGATAGACGTAAATTAATTTCTTCAGATCGTTAGCGTGTTGTTACGGGATATTGCACTTCATGCACAGACCTGTTCATTTGTTCAGCCTTTACTTCAGATTTGGTTTTGTTTTTTTGTTATAACACGAAATTTATCGTTATCGTCAGAATGCTCTGAAATATCACAATATATCGCCCACCCCAATAACGATAACGTTTATATCGACATAATGTGAATTTATATTGCAAATGAAATATCGATATTTTTAAAATACTGAGATATCGCCCAGCCCTAGTAAGAAAAAATAATCCACCGCGATCCAAACACGGGGTGTAGAATAATCCACAGGTAATCTAGGGCAGCGGCCTCAGCAGGTGCACACCCAAAAAACGAACAAAACGCCGTCACTTCTAAAAGCTCATGAAAAGCCCGAGCCAGCCTGCCGGTTCAGGCTGGGAGCTCGGGCAAAGGACGGCAGCTCTAACGTGCAGCCTCTCCTGAAACACCGTGAACACCCACAGCTTATTAATGTACAAAATATGTTGTTGTTCTTTTATTTAGTGTGCACGTCTTATAGTCGGGGTGCCTTACAGTCCATAAATTACGGTAGTTATGAAGGCAGTTCCTCAACTGAAACGTTGAGCTCTTCCTGTTGTTTTTGTAACGCACTGGTGATGAAGTGAGGAACACATCACTACTAGAAACTAATCAACGTGCTGGAGCTGCATATCGTAAGGAGCATGCAGACATATTATTGATCATCAATTCATTTACTCAAGTGACTAAGAAGGAAAATATGTTGCAGCAACAAAATATTCCCAGTAAAACATTTAATAACTTAAAAATTCATCTACCCACCATCTTCCCAGGAGAAGTGAGGTGGTGGCTCCAACTTAGGGGCTTCAGGCGAGTGCAGGCAGCTGGGGAAGTCAAAGCCGATCCTGTCGGACTCTTTGCGGGCTCTCCGGAGGATGACTCCTCCGTAGTCCTGCATGCGCTGAGCGGCCTTGTAGAAGAACGTGTCCTTGGCGTTGTACGTCATGCAGTTAGTGATGATAAGGTTGAAGTCGTCCTCAAACTCATCCAGGCTCCTGTAGTCATGAGAGTCGATTCGTTTCCTCATGGTGGAGAAGTCCATGGGGTTCTTGATGTGGTCCAGGTAGTCAGGGACCTGCAACAAACAATAAATTCAGTTCAAGAAGCGAGGCCGTTTGTTTCCCACCTTCCATCCACAACGAGAAGATGCTGCGCTGAGCTCTGCAGCAACAAACCTCCGTGATGCTGACGGGCTGAGCGAAGATGCTGGACTGGTCCTTGGCCTGCAGCTGACTGAGAACGGCCCTCAGCAGGATGCTGAAGGGGGTCAGCTGGACCTCCAGAACCGACTGCTGCAGCTTCAGCTGAAAACAGAAGAAGGACTCAGTGTGTTGTGTTTGCTCCCATCTCTGAGACATTTTTAAGGCTCTGCTGAAGACTACAAGAGTTTACAACTTTCCACCTGCAGCTGAAAAATATGAACGTTTCTGCGGAGTCCTCCCATAGTCCACCTTAAAACACTTCTTCCTAAAACTTTAGTTTATGACACAGACCCTCATCAATCAGAGGATGGTTTACTGACTGAAAGTTTTCTGATACATGTAGAATAATGAAGTTTCTTCCTCATGAGGGAGTTTTTCTTTCCACTGTCGCCTTCATGCTTGTTCAAGATGAGAGTTCTGTGATGGAGTTAAACTCAAAGCTGCGCCTCAGATAAATAATGTTCAATTATTATTTTATACATGAATGTTTCTGTTCAGTGTCTGAGACGACTTCAGTTGTGACTTGGAGCTTTAGAAATAAACTGAACTGACTAAAACACTTTTAAACTAAATATCAGCTTTAATGGCAGCTCAGCTCACGTGGACTAATTTAACAATTCCTACATCTAAAAAAACTACTTTGATAAAACAAAAAAAGTAATTCATTTAAAAAATCTCTGCAGAATCAACTCTTAATTGAATGTAATGTTTCCAAAACAGTTCAGGCAGGGTAGTAGAAGGTTTCGGTGAGGAGGTGAGTGTGGCTGCAGCTGCTCAGGTAACACTCAGATGTTCTGGGGTAAGGGACTCTCTTCAGGACCACAATGTTCACATGTTGGACCGAGAACACAGATGGTTTGAGAGGGCGGCTGTGGCTGAGTGGTTAGAGCAGTCGTCCTCCAATGGGAGAGTTGAGGGTTCGAATCCACCAGCAGTCACAAGTTGAAGTGCCCCTGTGCAAGACACTGAACTCCTCGTTGCCTCCGATGTGTGTCCCATCAGTGTTTGAATGTGATAAATCTCCGATTAGTTTCTTTAGAATGATTTGTTCAATTATCTTCATAAAGATCTAGTATAGAGCTGGATGAATGGGAGGGCACAGATTATTGTAAAGAGCTTTGAGTATCTGCATCAGATAGAAAGGAGCTGTATAAGTGCAGTCCATTTATGTCAAACAAGAGAAACCATCTTTGAACAGAGGAGCAGTCTCGGATTTCAACTCTCTAAAACTTATAATGCAGCTTTAGACCTGATACTTGGTCGTTTACACACTGATCACAAATTCCATCCACGTGTCCGGAGTGGCCTCTCTGTGGGTCTGAATAACAAAGACCTAAACGATCTCCTATTGTGAGGAGCGATAGTGCAATCTGCATGTGTATCCAGCTTACACAACACCTCAGCTTTATAAGTCAAACCCCGCACTCCCTGTTCTTTGAATTGAGAAAGCTCCTCGGATGAGAAGCGTCTTCTGTTACAAATCAAGTCCAGCTGTTTTAAATCTTCAACTTTTTTACTTACAGACTGGTTCAGCTCAAAACAATCAATCAGTAAAACTGTAAGGTAGCCAGCCTGTAAGGTAGCCAGCCTGTAAGGTAGCCAG